ACCTCCCTTGTCTGTCTGTGGCTGGCTGGCTATTGCCTCGTTTCTTTTGCCTCGCCTGTTTTTGCCTTCCTTCCTCCAATACCACATCACATCACATCAGCCAACCCTCCTTGCTCCTTACCTAAACCTTACATTGCCTCAAACATCCCCCGAGAGAATCAAACATTGATCTGACGTTATCTCCCGGTACAAGCCTGTACTTATTTGCTGGACAATATTCTCCCAGTCGGCGTGTCTTCCGTCATATATGAGCATAAAACGACAAGCAACAGAAAGGGACAGTGGTACTCTGTTCGCCATCCAAATTTCGTGACCTCACTCCATCATCCCCTTCACTTCACCGTACCTCACGCGCAAGTTCCCTCTGACAAGCAAGCTGTTGGGCTATCTTTGGCATTGGAACGTCGGATGGACATCTCTGATAGGGATATCTCATGGCCATCCACGACACTGTATTACCCAGATATGCTATAAAACCTCGGTTGGGTCAGTTTTGAGGCGGCATACTAGTGTCATGTATGAGATTACGTCAAGCAAATCGTTCAATACTTTGGAACCAGAAACAATATGGCAGCCTTAAGCATTGTTATTCAACCTCCTGCTCGAGCCCAGGTCTCGACCACCCTGCATCCACCTCTTGTTGCCGAGCTAAACTTCAGAGGGGCCGTGACTGGTCACTATTTGTTCGCCATGGCCTTTTTACTTACGAGAGAAGGAAATATTGTTGAGGGAGGCTTGTCGGGAACCACTTCGGTGAACGGCGTTGATGTGACCACAGCTGGATCATCGAGAACAACAATCTATTTCCCGTACACAGATCTTGCTATTCTAGCTGAAGGCGCTTACAAGATCAGAGTCGACGTTTACAAGGTTGCCTACGACCGCCCAGCCGGTTATGATTTTCAAGCGCTCGTCAAGAGCAGTCGTGTCGCCGTAGTCAACGAAGCAGTGCCGGCTGCAAGTGCTGGTGAGTCGCTCAGTATCCGAGAAAAGTAACCTCATTCAGCTAACTTTATCATGTCAAGGTTCCGCTGAGCGCAGCATTATCCGGGCTCTCCAGACCGCTGGGGTCTATATCCATTAATCATAATACCAACCTCACAAAATATCGAGACGGAAACATTCAGAACATAATGACAAGCATAGCAACAGAAATTGCAAGACTGCTGATAGACGTCTTGCAGAGGCTATCAGGCAGAATCAATCGGAATTCTATCGGTGATGTCGAGTATCAAGTCAAGCATGAGTCTGCATGCCAGGTGACAGTAAGGTTTTGAGGAACGACGGTGCGACATCCACGGTGGTTAGTCGGGGATATTCCACGTGTATTATATGTATCTTGATCTTAGAGGACCAGAGGAACTGACTCATCAGTTATTGTGTGTCTACGACCCCCGCGGAAATTTCAAAAATCATAGTAGCTCGGACCCTGCCCGCCGGGATACACTACGTCTCGCTTAGGAGCTCGATGGAACCTCGACGGCTCAAGAGTTCCGGCCTGCAGGTGAGCGTGCATAATCTAGCCTTTGAGGGTTCACGAAAGTACCACGATATGGTCACCTTGGCGGAGCGGAATGACTGATGTTATTCGGAAGTTTTGAGTAGAAAGGAGGGGGGGCATTATCCTGGCCATTCTCCACACCAAAAGTTCACTACGCTACCTAAGGTATTTTAGGGGACGCATTCCAAAAAAGCAACGGTCACGACGTCATAGGGCATTGTGGAACGCTAATGCTAGCTGATGGAAAAGTGGCTGAGATGGAAACACCACTCGGAATAGATCCTCGGGGCGAACTAATACCCCCGACGCCAGGGCCAAGCGGAAAACGTTATCAGCTTGAGGAAGACGCTAAGGATAAGATGCTTTGACCGTGCCAACATTTACATTGTAAATACATACAGTAGACACTGACCGACTTTACATTGCCCTGCGTACGCCAACTAACAACGTCACTGATCTTGACAGGGTTGGACGGAAGAAGCCTGCACCTACCCGTGTTCCCTTGAGGCCTGGCCCGAGAGGAGAACATGCTGTCAGTCCCCGGATGTGATGAGGTGAGACATCCGATGCAGCTCAGGCCTGACAAGCTTGCCAAGGTCTGTAGAGAGCTTGGACCTCGTTTACCGTCTATGCATGTTTCGACTATCAGCCACTAATGTTTGACACCTCAAGGCCCAGAGAGGAAACCCCAAGAGAGTACAACCTCACTTATCTTGCTCATTATATGCTAGGGTTGACATACCTACATGAGGATCGCACTCTCCGGTCTTGGCTTGGCAGCCTTGTGGATGGAGATGGGATATGCCCGAGGCCCCTGCCTGTCTATAAGCCAGCCATTGGTCTATTTGTCTGCATCTTTATCCTTATGCGTCCGTTGTTCAACCCGGATTGGATTCTTCGTAAGAATGTCATGCAAGTATCTGGCCATTTGTGCAGTATCTATCGTGACCCTCCATGACGATACCCGGAATGTCTCGGCGGCTCCCGGTGGATAGATTGGCTGTCAACTTACAAGGCGCTTTATCAAGTTGACTAGTTAGTTATTACATAAATCCTCGAGTCCGAGATACGAGATCGGACTAAATCTGGGGATCCCGTTTCCGATATGGGGGGTCGGATCCAGAGGTGGAGCGGAGCACATGAACGAGCGTCGATCAAGTATAAGACAAGAAAAAGCACTATATATGACCAATACTCAGCAAGATTCGCGGTGAGACATGACTAATCTGAGTTCAAAGACCAGAAATTACGAGATCGTCAATACCGGCTGGAGATCCCTCAACCGGCGAGACGGCACAACAGGGACGATGGATCCTGGAACAGGCCAATAAGACAGTGGATACCCAAGGAAATAAGAGGCTGAGACAGCCGGGGTTGAGCTACCATGGTTGCTTTTGTCTCCATACACGGCTATCCGATCATCGTGATTGGAGATCGTTGACAGGATCTTGGATTCTGTAGCTGATCAAGACACAAGGGGGCTCAGCTGGCTGCACAGACACAGACAAGCTCTTGAAGCCTCACTTCACATACCAATACACACTGAAATGCCGTGTGATATTGGGAATGGGGTTTTTGTCTTGGGGCTCTGCGGGATGAACAAACTCGGATCAACTCATCCAGTTTTAGCTTGCTGGGAGAGCAACAGGGGAAGAGGTGACAGCGGCACCGTATTACGATAGCCGTGGGCTTGACTCGTCATAATTACATTGCCTGGTCATTGCTCTGTTTACGAGAAAGGGATAAGTGGATATCATCACTTTAATTCTTCTTACCCATGTGGGCTACACCGGCCCGACCCAGTCCGTGGTGCTGGAAGATCGTCAGATATCTCATTCCAGTTCCTGGTCATAGCATTTATCCCAGCCGAGAGAGTAAAACGTGATTCAGATGATCAGTTTGTTAGCATTGATCTGAGTCGTTGGGCAAACCTTGGCCAACACTTGTTTTGCATCAGCAGCTGTTCAGATTTGACGGAAGCCTGAGTAATGGCTTGTGATTTGGGATGATGACTGCAGAGAGCAAATGGCAGTCGAATGAAAGGAGGAGCGTTGGTCACAGGGTGGACGGAAAATACTGGGAAATGGCCTTTCACGATATCTTCGCGATGTCACGTGAACCAAACTTTGGATCCCACTTTGGTAGGAAAGGAAGGTACTCTTTTGCTATCCTGTAGGGCTGATCACCTCCAGTTTTAGGGGCTTACAGCGAGCGCCCAGGACCTTTTCTGTTAGCACACAAGTACCCCCACCAAACGGAAATTTCTCCCAAGATCCCCTCATCAGAACACACAGCTCACCACAAGATCACTAACAGTGACCTATTCAGCCTCTCTATACCATTTCTTTTGTTCTCGATCTTTTCATCTTGCTGTAGAGATTTCAAGATGGTCTATTACTTCACCTCCAACGTGGTCGATCCTCCAGGATTCATCTATGTCGGCAAGGACAAGTTCGAGAGTATGCTTATGCCCAATGACAATCATAATGCGCTATTGCGTTCCCCGCCGGCTGAGACTTGATGCTAGATGAGGACCTGATCAAGTTCGGCTGGGAAGAGGATATCTGGTAGGACTCTCCATCAAATGAGTGGGCTTGTGCTAAGTAACATTTAGGGTGAGATGGCCAGCCAAATCTCAGCGAGAATGGAGCAAACTGACAATGTCGGCTCTGTGTAGTTCCACGCGGATAAACTCTCCAGTGCGCATATCTACCTACGCATGCAGGAAGGCCAGACATGGGACGCTCTCCCTGAAGATCTTGTCATGGACCTCGCCCAACTGACCAAGGCCAATTCCATCGAGGGTACCCATCCTCCCTTAATCTCCTCTCACGCATATCTGACATGCCATCCAAGGCAACAAGAAAGACAACGTCACAGTAATCTACACACCATGGTCCAACCTCAAGAAGGACGGCAGCATGGAGGTCGGCCAAGTCGGCTTCAAGGACCCCCGCAAAGTAAAGCGCGTCCTGGTTCCCCAACGCGAGAACCCCATCGTCAACCGTCTCAACAAGACAAAGGTTGAGAAGAAGCCAGACTTTAAGCAGGAGAGAGACGATCGTCTCAAGGAGCTGCGACGTCGTGACCAGGCAGCTTTCCAAGTTAGGGTAAGGAAGCCTCCCCGTGGATAGTGAAGCGAGATTTGTTAATATTGTTGTAGAAGAAGGAGGAGGCTCGACAGGCACAGGAGTGGAAGGAGAAGAAGTGGCAGAAGGACCATGCCTACGACGATATCTTCACAGAGGATAACATGGCTGCTTCGAGTAACCAGGACCGCGATGAGAACTGGGAGGACGACTTTATGTAAAAAGGAGAGAGCCAACATCAGAGCAGCATCATATGATATAATGCATATTCTTGCAATTTTATGCAACTATAGATATCCAATTTTGGACTACTTGTCTTCATTCTCATCATATTCCAACGCTAACAGGGTATTTTTTAGACAAACTTTCCTTGCCGAACAAAGAAAAAGATCCTACGACTACTGTCATTGTCAACCGCTAACTCCTATTCCGAAACTACCACTCATACTCATCTCTTCAAATCGGTTCGAGATTCCACTGAGGTCACTTGATGTATCCAGTCGGATGGGGCTTGAGGAGCTCCGATCACTGACGCCACTGCAGTTCGAGACGGGTGACTTTCTCATGCTGGGGGTGTCTCTGACTGGATCAGGGGACATCACTAGTTGAGGGGGCAAATCTTCCTCCTCTTCCACCAAGTCTGATAGATCATCGTCGTCATGAAACTCGAGATTAGATGCCTCTTGCTTCTTAGAGGCACTGCGAGTCTCTGACCTGTTGAGAGTCATTATGGCCTGTCCTCCCGGAAGCTTTACTTCGTGAGCTTCCAGGGTCTCTGCGATATCCCAGAGGAGGACGTCCATGGGGCAGATGTACGCAACACGCTTGCGCTGACTCCAGGCCAGGACATGTCCGCAAAGTTGGCCCTCGTCACGGCTGACGATCCAAGCACCGCTGTCACCAGGGATACCTAGAGGAACATTCTTATTCTGATGCCCCTCTTCTGGTGCGTCAGCGCTGGTGACTTGGTAGGCGTGGCTTGGTGAAACACGGCCGTAGATCTTTACGCTTGTCAGAGCGGGGAGGATCTTGCCAGTCTGCAAGCCACTCGTTCGAGCCATGCACTGCACCTCCATGTTTGGCAAGGATTCTGAAGGAGCGACGATCGTTGGTCTCAACACAGGCGATCCAGCTGTCTGCTTTCCTTCAGACTTTTGTGCAAGCGATTTGCCATCAATGCGAGGCATGGTGTTGTCATCAGGCAGTCTATCGTGAGCGAATTCGAAGAGAGCCCAGTCAACCTCATGCACGAGCCCAAGGGCCTCCTTCCTGCGGATACCACTTGAAGCATACACCTCCCCGACACTGTATGTGTCGAGGTGATCCTCGTCTTGGGTCTCTGGGTCAGGGTAGAACCCTTCGTCGACATCATCGAGAGCCGGCTGTGTGACGATGTAGCCATCACCACATCCTGGCTCAATGCCAGGGATATCTCCAGGCTCATTATACTCCTCGTCATCCTCATCGTCTTCGTCATCCTCATAGTCACTAGTGATATCGGAATCCGAGTAGGCTTCTGATTCAGTATCAGACAGCTCATAGCCAAACTCATCATCGACAGTGCTGTCGTCACCGGATTGCTCGTACCAGTCCATATCAGGCAGGGCACTGCACCGAAGAGTATCACTGGGCCCAAAGTCCCGGTCTGGATCATCGAGCATGTGGTGCACTGTCATTCCGTAAGGCTTGTCGTCAACCATGACGAGGCCTCCCAGGCTAACGGGGGGTAGATGCCGATCACCAATCCATGCCCCAATACTGGCGCCATTCCCTGGACGCTCCTGATACTCTGGGTTGATGGCCTCAACATCGTCAGACTCTAGGCCGGATCCCTTGCCGCTTCTTCGGGCCATAGATCTTAGGACCGAATTCGGCTGTCGGCGAGATCGTAGAACATGTCCACGGCAAACCTTGAGCCCGAAGCCGCTGCTTCCATCGAAGAGATCACCGAGCCTCTTCTTGAGAATAGCACGGACTTTGCCAACAGATGTACACACAACAAGTACTGTGGGTTGGGTCTTCTGAGGGCTTGGGCCTACAGACTCAAGGGAGATCTCGACCGATTCGGGGTGCTTGCGGTAAAAGTGACGAAGAGCGTGGTTGATCTGGGGCATGAGGGTCTTGTTCCACTTCTCCACGACTTCTGGTGCTAGCGGTACATGGGGATATAAACGCATCTTTGTTTCTGACTGCTTGTCAAGGGCATCTGGGAACAAGTTAGTATTGACATGAACATATGGATCCGAACATTGCGGCATACCATCCTGATCAGCGACTGCCTCAAACTTGGGAGCACTCTTTTCTGTTCCCAAGTTGGGCGCTGACGCTGCCATTGGCTTCTCGCTTGCAGCTTTTAGTGGTGGCTTGAAGTCTTTGGCATCCTTTACATCGTTGTTCGTCTTCATAGGGGCTACATCGACGGTAGGCGCTTGTGTCTGGGACGGGTTGAGCTCTTGATCGAGCCTCTCCTCCAGGCCGCTGACACCGTCCAATATACAGCAGGCCTCCAAAAAACGGCTGCATCGTACCTGAACCGACGAGAGCAATGATTCACCAGAAGATCGCCCGGCAAGCTCATCATCGACAGCTGTCCAACAAACCTGAACAGCCTTCATGTATAAGCTGCCGCATCGAACAGCAAGCTCTTCCAGAGCCGAGTCAGGGATAGAAGTGGATCCCTCAGGCACAATATCCTCAAGTGTCTTCCACAAGCCAACTGAGAGTAATAAAGTGGCTAAGGAATACAGATCGAGAACTCTCTGGTCAGGATTGCTGACAAGATGTGAAGATTGGAGATTGCGTGGATCAAGCGGATGACGGGACAGAATTGGTGACATTGAGGGGGTATCTTCAGGAAAGAGATCGAAAGAAGAAAGGAGAGGGCGTCGAATGTCCACCTCGCCGTTGGTAGCACCAGGTTGCGAGGTGACTGCATCGCAGAACGAGACTGTGGTAGGGGCAATGTTGCCATGGGTGATGCCGCGAGCATGTAGGTCGAAAACAGTGTTCATCAGATTGTGAGCAAGTCTGAACTTAGCCTCAAGCTTAGGCTCTGATCCTGGAACTGAGAGGAGATCTTTCAAAGTCGGGAGGTTATAGGAAGGATTCTTTGTGAGGCGCTCGAATGAGACGGCATTGAATGAGGGAGGAAATCGATAGACAAGACCAAGTCTCGAGTTCTCCAGGTCTTCGAAGTATCCGAGAAGACGAGGTAGTCCAGTCCATGTACCAGGAGATCGTTGGGAATCTTGCTGCAGACCGGCGGATAGCTTCTCGAAGCGAGCCATGGGAGGCATGATGCCCGTCACGGCGTAAATCGAGTCAAAGGTTGCATATTCCAGAAGCAGAGGGGCCCATGGTTGGCGCGTCGTTCCATGTGTGAGTTCTGAATAAGCTGTCTTGCTCATAAACACCACTTCTCGGGGAGTAGAAGCCTCATCACCTTGCTTGGGGCGCAGATGAGTTAGAGTCTGGGGGTTAATTTGCTGAGGCGTTTGCATGCGACTTGACTCGAATGGTCTGTACTCCTCGGTAGACGACATGGACTTGAACGGCGTTTTCGATGATCGTCTTGGAACTCCGCCAGCTGCTGCCCTTGTCCGCGACAGATCGTAGAGCGTATCAATCGAAGCAGTGAGGTCATTAACCAAATCCTCAAAATGGTTCTTATCCCATTGAACCAGCGGCGGCTTCGTATCTTTTGAAGTAGCAGGTGCTGAAATCATGCGCTTGGAGCTTAACCAAAGAGGTTCAGCTTCTGCTAGGATGTCCTTGATGGTGGACATTATACTTCCAACAACCTCACTCAACCCAGCTTTTGATAGAGACTCGTCGATCTCAACAGACTGAGTGGGATCAGACCATTCGAGACCCCAGCTCACTAGACGATCTTTCTGAATGCGGAGTTTTCGATGTAGGGCCTTGATTTCCGGATCTTCCTCATTTTGAATTGGCTCTTTGACAAAGTCGGTTGACTTCTTAGTGTCGTTGTACAGTCTGCTGAGGCGTTTCTGAAAGGGCAGCTGAAAGCCACCCAGCGGTAGAAACGACTCCATTGTAGTGAAATGCTGTGAATATGTTGGAGATGAGTCCTAGAATGGGAAGTAAAGCCTGTTTATGATGATAAGAGTCGCCAAGTCTGAAAGTGATGTCTTGATCGTGATGCTTGATGGCGATCTGAAGCGGGGCTCTTGTCTTGGAGGTGGTGTAATTAGTGAGGCTCAGCCATTGGCGGTCTTGGCCAGTAAATAAGTAAGTTAAAAGGGGGACCAAGCAAAAGTCACATGTTCTTAGTGAGTGAGAAGAGAAAATAGACAATGTCTTGTAAGAAACTGTATCAATTCATTTTGTTGAGAAGAAGCTGCTGTTTATTTCGTTGCCTACACAAAGCGGATCTTGCTGCGCGGCCTATTTGCGGCCATTTTCTAAGGGTCTCAGAATCGGAAATGCTGCTGCCTGAAGGATCAGCGACTACCCTATTGGTCAGTCCTTCATCGGACGCTAATAATCCGCGCCGAGATGGTGTCTAATCATGTGATCTCCATTGAAAGAATGCGGCTGCCTATCAACCCTTGCTACTCACTCACATACTAATCTACCAGTATCACCAGCTTTATCTATCCGATCCAGTCTTTGACGTTTCCATCTCACCACGTGGCTTACGCCATGACATGAGTTCTAGAGTCCCCTCAGAATGATAAGTTGATGGTCAGTCTTGTTTGACATGCACAGACACACGACGTAGTATCTTGTTGGTTGGGTATGCTTTGATGTCTTATACATGCGGCAACTTGCATGATACAGATAGTAATTCTTATCAATTCGTTCCACAGACTTTGGCTAAAGCTTGCATATGATGATATGAGATAGCGGCCACTCCTCCAAAGACTTAAAGAATCTCCTACTTTGACCCACAGTACTGTGCCATTACAAGTGACCTGTGAGACTTGTACAAGTGAGGAGAAGACTCTCGAGTACCTACGTACTACGCAAACGTAGTCTTCAGTCTTCGAGACAGCCATCATTACGCACTCGAATGCGAATTCCACCAAGCTTTCATGAGGCTAGCTCACTTAGCAAACTGCCGACTTACACTAGACACATGCTTTGATCAAGGTGCCATTGGTGCCAACACTCACTGACCAAGACAGCGACAATCCCGAGGGTTTCCCAAAAGATGATCCCATGGATACAATCACTTTGCTCCATGTCGTTCTAGACCACAATCATTCTTTGCTTAAAGCAGTCACTCCGCCTCTGCCTTACGTCAGTGACCCTCCTCGGTAACCCTCGCACACAGATGACTATCTCTTACTCACCGGTGCCCAAGTATCCGCAAGTGATTTCATGAGAATACACACTCCATCATCTCATAGAGTCACAAGATGATAGCCCGCGAGACCCTGTATCCAAGTAGACGCCTGGTGACATCCTCGTGTGGATATTGCTCTGGGCGATGTGCAGCGATAGGATCACTTCAAGCATACACACGAACAGGCTGTAAGAATGAGGTCCCAGGCTTCAGGAATACCTCAAGGCCCCCCTGATCTATAACCGGAGATTTCTCAATGTGGAAATGTCAATGATACTGCCTGAAGTACCAGTATCGATCGGAGGCTGCGGTCCGAATCGCCCTCGAGTATTATCATCAGTGACCAAGCCGAGAGTATACTTCTTTGGTCAAATATTGCTTGACTTTGCTAGGCTTCCACATCTCTTCCCATCCGTACTTCCTCTTCGCCCGTGGGTAAATATACTGAAGGGGGGTTGTCTGTCAAGTCCCTCACCAAAAACACTTCAAAGAATAATCATGAATAAACACAGGTGACCAGGTCAGTGTTATTCACAGCAGTCTCGATGGTATGATGCAGGAGCACAAACTTGAAGTAATAAAATGGATATTTGAAACCGAAACTAATCCAGTACCTGACGCCAATACACATTCCGCTCTCTGTCTAACGTCCTTCATTTCTAATTGTCTTGATGACATGACATAAAACCATGGTAGCATAAATCGCCAGTAAAAAAACACAGGGAATTATTCCCATTTCATGAAACCTCCTCAACATGTGCTTCTCTCCTTTACTGCTGGAGGTACTTGAGAATCTGCTCCCGCTCCTCAACGGGCATGACTCTGAGCACCTCACGAACACCAGTCCATCCAGCCTTAGCATGGCCACGGACAACGCTGGCGACCTCAGCTGCCAACACCTCGGACTTGAGCGTCTCGACCTTCTCGCTAATGGTCTTGCGCTCAGTCTCGTACCACTCAGTAACTGCCTGATCATTCTTCTCCCAATCAACAATGCCTGACCAGCTGCGGAGAAGGTGCAGGTATCTGTCACGAGTCTCCGTGTTCTTGGTAGCAGTCTGGCTGTGCGAAGTGCTGATGATAGTGGAGGTCATGCGGCGGAGGATGTACTCCTCATTGAGACGGCGGCGAAGACGCCAGTAGAAGAAGCGTCGAGCGTTGGTCCACTCAAGAACGTCACGGACGACACCCTTGGCTTTCATGCGGCCAGCACGGTCGTGGAGATCGGCGAACTGCACGGCAACCTGGGCGTACACGGGCAGCAGCTGCTTCTCACGGATGGCCATCTTCTTCTTAATCTCTTCGGCCTCCTCCGTGGACAGGCTGGAGTCCTCGAGCTGCTTCTTGAGACCAGCGTAGGTAGGATCCATGCGGGCCATAGTCTGGACCTGCTTGTCCTTGCGGTACTTGATACCTATGATACCCTCAGGCTCAAGAACACCACCACGGGCCTCGGTGTCGGCGTACATCTCCATGGCGGTGGAGTTAATGGTAGGATCGACGACGACCCAAGATCCACCACGGAGCTCGCCGAAGGGAGGAATGTAAATGAAGATGGGCTGCTCATACTTGACGAGGGCATCGACGATGAAAGAACCGTACTTGAGGACCTCGTTGTACATGTCGCGCTGACCACCAGAGAAACCACGCCAGTTGGCAAGGATCATGAGAGGAAGCTGCTCACCATTGTTGAAGTCGTTAATAGCCTGAGCAGTCTTGAAGGCGGAGTTGGGGTACCAGACACCACCGGCCTCGTTGCTAACCTGCTCGATAGAGTCAGGGTTGGCAGGGTCAGCAGGAGTGATATTCTCCACAGATCGGACCTCAACAGCGATAACACCCATAGGGATACCACCAAGACGAGCACGACCAACAACGACAGTCTTGGCCCAGCCGCCGAGAGCCTCAACGAAAGAGTCCCTGTCGAAGAGACCAGACTCGAAACCGTTCTCGCCCTCTCGACCATTGATCATCCATCGGACATCATAAGGCTGCTTCTGGGGAGGGAAGTAGGTAATGTCACGGTTCCAGTCATCAACGCTAGGGCTGACAGGGACAGGGCTGTTGCGCTTCTCGGGGACAAATGACATCCACTCGACGATCTTAGAGACACCAGCAAAGTCATCGTTGGCGGTCATGTGAGAGACACCGTTGCGGTACATGATCTGAGTGCCACCAAGCTGAAGGTTAGAGGTGTAGACCTCACGACCAAGCAGGTTGTTGAGGGCAGGGGCACCAGTCAAGATGATGGGCTGACCCTCAATCTGGACAGCACGCTGGCCAAGACGGACGAGGTAGGCACCAATACCAACGGATCGGCAAGTGACAAGGGTGACAGTGAAGATGTCGTTGTAGGCGCGGCTGGTGGCACCAGCAATGAGACCAGAGCCTCGCAGACACTCAACACCAAGACCATCCTCCTTACCAACGATGGTCACGATCTTGTGTCGCTTCTCACCATCCTCGGAGACTTCCTCGGTGATGACGTCCTTCTCGAAGCGAGTCTTGGTCTCCTCATCGAGGTAGAGGTACTTGAAGCCAGAATCTTGCTTCTCGGGGTTGTTCCAAGCAACCTTGAAGTGGCCCATGAGCTCCTCAGCCAGGCCAAGACGAGCACCAGAGTTAGCAGAGAGGTAGATACGGGGGATACCCAGCTTGCGAGCAAGTTCAGTGCACTTATAGAAGAAGTCGTCTTCCTTAGGACCGAACGAACCAATCTTGTAGGTGATATCGTTGGCAATGACGATGAAGCGACGGCCGTTGGGGTATTCAGGGGTGCGGGCCCTGAAGATCCAACCGACCATACCACAGGTGTTGGTACCAGGCTCGCGGTTGACCTCATCAAGGCTGTCCTTGTCATCGAGAACAAGCTCAGTAAAACTGATGCAGTCACCGGTCTTAGGCTGCTGGGAAGCCAGGCTAGGCTGAGCCTTGACGGCCTTGACCCAGGTGTTCTGGATGGCTTGTCGGAAGAGCTCGGGGAAATCGTAGACGTACTGGGTTCCCATAAGATGAGCCTTGTAACGCTTGGGCTGGAGCCAGTTCTTGGTGGCATAGGGGGTAGAAACGGGCATCAGGTGCATAGGACCCTTCTCGTGGGTACCACCAATGCTGTGGAAGACCCACTCACCCTTCTCTGACTTGCGCTCGGCGTACATGTCGACATCGACAACGTAACCAGAGGTGTTGATGATGACAACGCGAAGAGGGTAAGGCTCGCCAGTCTGAGGGTCGGTGCAGATAATGCGGATCTCGACCTGAGCGATACGGAGTCTCCAAGCACGAATACCGAATCGGTCAAGGAAACCCTGAAGACTCTCCTCGACCTCCTTGGGCTGAAGCTGGAACACAGGAGAGAAGTTGATGAAGACCTGGTTCAGATCAGAGTTGTTGTTGCCGATAATTTCGAGGGCATCGAAGATATCGTTGACAACGCGATCAGCCTCAGAGATGAGGTACTCAGCAGTAGGAATCTCGTCTCGGAGACGGCCAGGTCGGATGACAGCACGGGTGAAGTATCGCTTATCAGTGTCCACGCTCTTGCCAATACCCTCGTAGACGTGGATACTCTTGTTCTCGGTGAAGACGGGCTTGATGTGGAACTTGCTGAGACGAGCAAGCTCAAGCTGGAAAGCAAGAGCAGGCTCGCTGTGACGAATACTGTCATCCTCCTTGTACTCGGGTCCACGGAAAGTGTAGTAACCAGGGTAAGAACCATCACTGTGGCCGCAGATGAATGTCAGG